GAGTACCGATCTTTTCAAGGTTCAACGCTCAAGGAGAGTGGAACTAAAGGCTTGACCCTCGGTTTGAGCGCGACGGGACTCTAGTTGCCCCAACGTCTACTGCGTCGGAAGCACGCAGCGTACAAATCTTATGAGATTTGCTTGACCTGGTACCACTACCCCGCAGAGGCCAACCCAAATTGGGATGTCAGAAGAGAGACTCAGCCAGAACAGCCAGAGGAAGATTCCTAAGACGATCAACCAACTAAGCCTCCCCTCCTGGGCTCGCGTTCAAAATACATCCCACCCTGCGTTCCTGTATTAAGGGATTTCTCCCACGACTCACAGGTCCATCGCTTCGACGTGCCGGGGCATGTCTTCCCATTGCGTTTCGGTCATCCCCGCTCACGCTGGTGGGTATCCGTCATTCGAAAGGTTGTGTTCTGATTTTGCCCGAGTCTCGGATTTCGCTTTCCATGGAAAGCTTTTATGACTCGCTGATATTGATCTCTGCTCTTTCGATTAATTTTCTAACTTGGGTCAGGGGCGGGGTCTCGCCTAGCCGACAAGGCGACTCCCCAGGCAGTTTTCAGTCATGCCACTCATTCAAATCAATTTCCGAGATCCAGGCTCAAATCAGATGTTTTAGCGTTCGAGATTAGCGTTCAAATTGTGTTTTTCACACAAAGGTGTCGGGCCTTATTCCCGGAGCTCGAGGCAAAGAACTTTGGGTGGCTGCTATGACCATGGCCACGACTCTTTACCCACCATAGTGGCACCTACCGATTGCCAGTAGATAGGGAGTATTTTCTTATCTACCCGAATTAGATTCGGATTGCCGGGACCATTGGTCCTCTGCAACTAGCTTCCGGAGCGGTCTCCCGTCCTCTAAGCGGGCGCGTGGTACCACAATCCCAAGAGATTTCCCCTCAAGTGATTCCCGGATTTTGGCTTTTCTGGGCTTGAGTTGAGCTCTTGGGGTGTGGTAGACTCCACGTTGAATGTTTGGGCATTTATGGGCCGCACCTCACCACGTGCTGTCATGGTCCGTGTTATTTATTGTCGTTTGGCCGATTGGCCTTTTGCCCTAGTTGTGTGTTTTGCCTACTGTTTCTTTACAGAAGCAGCGTTTTCAGCTCCACCACGTGAAGGTACACACATCCGCACGTGTGATTGCAAGTCTTCGTTCAAATACACATTGCATTCACTGCGGGTCGACCAGCGTTAGTTGCTTGTCGAGGACAATCGGTGACGCATTTTGTACTTCAGCATTTGCATTTGCTTGTGCCCGTACAGGTAAGAGAAGTTTACAACATCCTCTCCCAAAACAACAAAGTGTTTTGAAGTCTCCACTCTCTGTTGAGGAAGACAATTACTGTCCGTCGCTTTGACAAAAGATTTTGCACAAGGTGACCTGGCCAGCCGCGAGGCTGGCCATATGGTGCACTATGTGCATCATCCATGTTTTTGCTAAGCGGATTATAATCGAGCTTCCTGAAAGCGTCGTGATTGCAACCGCCTATGTAACAAGACAGTTTTGATGCTATAGAAGCGTCTACAGAAGAGTCTGTCTGTAGAAGAGACTGTAGAAGAGTCTGTAGAAGAGTCTGTAGAAGAGTCTATAAAAAGTCGCCGGTCTTCTCGCTTATGCTCTACGATGGCAACGTAAAATTTATATCATTTTCTATAAAATCAACTGAATATAGAAAATAATGATAACACACTAACATTTGATCGTATACCGATAAAATTTTATTATGAACAATAAGCAAAATAGAAAATTAAAAGTCTGGTATTATACGATTAAAAAATACAATATAGCAGATACTGAGCTGCTATCCTTGAACTCACTATTTCATACTAACAAATTTTTATCAATCTCTATAAAAAATCACTATGAATATCTTATCCATCTAACTGTTAGACTGCAACTCAAACATAATCTCTAACATAGTTAGATTTGTATCACTAACGAAATTTAATCACTTATATATCTGACCGTTAGCCCGCCACTCCAATATGATCTCTAATTCGGAAAAATAGGCATCACTAGATAAGTTTTTTAATCTATATACATTCAACCATGAAACAATCACACTAGTGTATTTTTTAAGTTCATCAATTTATGAGAAAAACTCGCAGTGAATGCACCATCCAATTCAATACGAAAATAAGAGATATTTAATATTACATTTCAAGAAAATACGTAAAAACTAAACGAACCTCATATATTATTCAATATTATATTCTTAAGATTCATGAAAATATGAATTTAGGAAAAAATGTGCTGAATATTGAAACATCAATTTATTTGGTCATTGCTACCTAGTCAGTTACAAAATTATAAGTTCAGAAAATCAAAGTGTATGGGTCTCAATGGTTACAAAATTTCAACCAATAAACCAGTTGCGCTATTGAGTTGTCGACTTATTGATAAAAGACATATTACAGGGTTAAGAAAATTGTGATCGAGGAGTTTGAGGTTATAGACTCGCAGGTTTCAGAATTTAGGAGTTGAGCAAGTTTAGTTTTATAGTTTTGAGGTTATAGACTCACAGGTTACAGGATTCTCGGTTTGAATTAATTTGGTTTTAAGGGTTCGACATCAGAAGCTACAGAGTTTGAGGATTGAAGGAATTGAGATATAAGAGCCTCAGGTTATAGACTTGCAAGTTATAGGATTCGGGGGTTAAGAAAATTGGAATTCAGGGGTCTGAGATTATAATCTCAAAGATTAGGTGAATTGAGATTTATAGGAATACGATATATTTTGATATATAATGACATTTGACTCTTCGTATCTTCTTTTCTGGATCAAGAGTAGTGATTTTTGCATTTTGAGGTTAGAGATATCTCAGTGAAAAGAAAAACATGTACAAGATTTAGAGATAGAGTTCTGTAAGGTAAGAGTTCTTTAAAATGGCGCTATTCGTTTAAACAAAAATTATAATATATAGGTAGATAATCACAAATATAGCTAAAAATCATGTTTTCCGCCCTCACAGGTTAGGATATCTTGAAAGTCTGATGTGTTAGGTTAATTTTGATGCTGGATTTGGATTCAACGTATTAAAATCCTGCGGATACGCAAGGTCTTGTTTATGGTTCTGGGATTTTTTTAAATTTTTGTCGGCCTTTCTTTTCCTATTACTCCTTTAAACATATATCTGGTATCTATCTTCCCTCTTTTTTTCCTGAATCTCATCCACGTGTTGTTTAGTATTACTTTCTTTTTCATTTCCTTGTCCACTCTTTTCCTCAATATTTAGGCATATATTTTATATTTTGCGTTTCCTGTGTTATCACTCTATGGTTACTAGCTTGTTTTTTTCTCTCTTTCTAGAAATTAGTACAATCATTCCATTTTTTTGTTCATTTGGGGGTTTTTTCCATTTTATATCTTGTTTAGATTTTTCATATTGTTTTTTCATTTTTTTCATTTCTTCTATCCGAGCTTTGTTTATTACCTGATCTTTTTCTGATGCTTTCTTTTTTTCAATTTTCTAGCTACTGTACTAAATTCTTCTTCTTTAAAATTATCAATACCTTTTTCGCATAACTTTCTTTCTCTCTTACTTTTACTTTTGTTTCTTATCTCACTTTTTTCACCAAGTTGACTTTCGAAGTGTTCTTTCCATTCCTTTTGTGATGCCACTGCTCATTTACTTTTCTTTGCTTTTTCTATTCCTAGTCTATTTTTCTTTTTTATTTTAAATATTCTTTCTTTCTTTCCTCTCCATTTTTCAATTTATGAAATGTTTATGATGCCTTCACATTTGCATTTCTTTAATTTTTTCAATTATTTATCTTTTCCGTAGCCTTCAGCCAACTTATATGCTCTTTCTTTTCTTCCTCACTACAGTCGGATATCAGCTTTTTCTCTTCCTCTACGTTATTCTCCTAATTCTATCCCCCTCTGTGTTTCCATTGTCATGATATTTTCTCTCAACTATTTTACATCTTTTCTCCCTCCCTGTTTATTTCATTATGCATTGCTGGTATTTAGTTTTTTTTTCTTCTTTCTCATACCAGTTTCTACCTTTCTTGCAAATCTCGGAAGATTCTTTCAATTATTATTCTTGTTTCTTTGTTATTTCAATTTTTTTTTATTGATTTATAATTTTTTTTCCTCTTATGCTTTATATGCATCGTGATGATTATGAATTTCTTTCCTTTTTTATCTTTCTAACTATGATCTCCTCTCTTTAATTTCTATCCATCCTTTTCTTTTTCTTAATACCATTACGCTCACTCCTATTTCTTTTCATGTCACCCACTCTCTTTTGAAGTACCCTTTTAGGCTCCTATTTAGCAGAATTTCCAATGTTTCTCTTTTCTCCATATTTTTACTAACCCTATTATCTCGAATTCTTTTTAATATTTCCAGTTCTATCTCTCCATTGTTTTTTTCTTCCTGCTATATTATACAAATTATCTCTTTTATTTTCCTTTCTCCCTGCTTTATCTGCATTTATTTCTTTGCTTCTATTCTTCTTCTACTGTTTGACCGTTATTTTATTATTTTTTAAATATTTCATTATTTTCTAGTCCATGCCCTATAACTTTATTATTGTTCCTTTTTTATCAGCGGTTTAGTTGCTATTTTTATGTTTTCTTTTATTTCTCTTTGTTTTTCCGTTCAGACTAATCTGCATTTGACTACCCACACGAATTCTTTCATGTCGTACAATATCCCACGAGTGCTCCCTCTTCTTCACAAGTTTCAAGCATTCTGTCATAATGACGTCACAACTTAAACACCCGATAATCTTCTCGGTGATTTGAGCATCCGTATTTCTCTTTCTCCGCATAAATAATTGTTATTAGAGTTATGGGTTGAATTTTCGATGTGGAAATCGACTCTTCGTTTACAAAATCAAGATAACACTTGGCGGCAGTGATTTAGGCAGTAATTTATTATATATATATATATATATATATATATATATATATATATATATATACAAAATAATATATGATATAATAGATATATAAAAGATATGTCAAACATAGTTACTTACCGATTGATAACGTATTTAAAATCGTACCAATGACTGCAAATAACAAGATAGTACCAAGGTGATCAAAAAATAATCTATTTGGCATAAAATATCCAGCATCGAGAATTATAGGCGGTAACATATATAAGAAAAATGTATCTGGTGTTAGTGGTGATATATGAACATTGCTAGTTTGAAATAAAAATAGTCCCACAATAACACCTACTACAATAAGTAAACATGACTCTGGAAATATTCTACTTAACTTTGGTGTCATATGAAATCCTGTAACAGAATTAATTATTTTGAAAGTATTATAACGGTTAATTAAATAAATATTGTGTACTTTTATTTCTAAGCGTTTAATAGCAATTACAGGTAAATTTGATACTAAGGAACTGCCAGTGAATATGACTAGCCACTGACTCTGTGAAAAAACTTTTTATAAAAGTTTTCTGACGAAGATAAACAGCAAAGACAGAAGAAATAAACTTACGACACGAGAGGCGAAATTATCTCGCGAGTGTGACGTCGGTTAACACAACATATTTCTCAGGCACGTCTGAGATAGACGTAATCTCAGGCGCACTTTTTGATCTATCCTTTCGGACAATAACCGAGACGTGCGTTACCACTATCGTGGGAAATTCTCTTTTCGGCGACGGGGGATGGAAGCTTCGCTATACCACATGCTTGGCAATATAGTTATGCTTCGCGTTACTTTAGCACACTCTTGGCAAATAAAATAACGTAACAGGGAGTCTATCTAATATGCACTCGACCACACGCTTGGCAATCGAGTGTAACTATCTAAAATAAAAAAATCGTACGCGAAACTAAGAAAGAAAAGATTGAGGAAAGAAATGAACCAAATGAACCGAATTAGAGTTTTGATTTTTATTAAATTAGTTTACTTACTTTTTTAGTAATTATTTCCCACACACATATACGAAATAAAACGGACGTCCTTTTTATAGAGTACTGAACTGGAAGGAACTGAGATAGAACTGCCTATTTTTCTTCACGAGCTTCCTTTTATGATTTTCGCGAGAGAGTCCCACTCTGAATTTCTTGTCATTTTTGGACAGAAAGAATTAAATTTCCCTGATTTAATTGGTTAGAAAATTTGGGGAACGTCTCAAGTATAAGCGAAGTTTGAACTCTAATTGGTCGGAGGAGAAGTATGCGGGAGTGGCTAATTCATAATAATAAATTTCAAGTGTTTTGGGCCCTCTTCACATAGATAGCCCTCTATGTACTATTTTCATGTATACTTTTATACTCTAATTTTAATTATTTAAATTAATTGTGTTTGTGGTACTCTAATCTTACTAATACAAAAATATTATTTAGTCTATAATAAATCTAAAATGCTGAACAAAAGTTAAGGATTATATTTATCTGGAAACAAACAAGATTTTATTAGTTTTAATCATTAACTAATTACTAAAAGCCCATTAGAAATACTGGAAAATCAGAGTTCATTATTATGAATATAATCATCATGGCTTGGTAGATAAAGGGGGCCGGAAGCACCTGAGCGACAATATAAGCAGAGAGCACGATCCAAGCGTGCTCTATCTAGAAATATTAGCCAGGCGGAGCAAGCAAACAGCAGGCTCCGACTTTAGGTAGTATATTTTATCTTATTATTAGATAGTTTGCGGGGACTGCACACGCTCATAATCTCGCGAGTTTACTTCTTGAAAAGAAGGCAGTAAGCGTAGTTACACTAATTAGTGTATATCCCGCTCATACCTTGGGTGATAGGAAGCGGTAGTGGTCGAATAGACCGATAATTTTAAACCTCGACCGCATCCTACACCCGTGCGGTGGCTAGATGGTTCTCTTGTCAGCCCAAATCAACACATGGGTATTAGAGCTGACCTCCACACAGCGCAAACGCTACTTTGCAGAATTGGAGCTGCGCAGGGATGGAAGTGGCATCCAACAGGCGGCTAGGCCAGGGAGATAGTTGCTGGGTGAGTACAACGTCGCAGATTTCGAGGAGACCCCGCGTAGTAAAGAAGTGGCGGGGCGCCGGAGGCGCACCCGACACGCGTGGCTCGATACGATCTGCGATGTGTTGGAAAACCTCAGCGCAGAGGTGCACAGCGACTATCCTCTGAGACTCATCAACAGGGAGGGAATAACCTTGACAAATATGTCAAGGACATTCGCCTGCCTGGATGAGGACTCGAAGATTGAAGCTAGCCGCCAAAAAGAGGATGACATCAACCGGAGGGTATTCCATACCCAGAAAAAAAGGAAGGGGAGAGGAGACGAAGCAACCTAGATCTAAGGTTGCAGGAGTCCTGGACCTGAAAGGAGCCCCAAAGGAGAACTATCCTTGGGCTAAGCCATCCGGGAAATAGAGTACCTGAAGGACGGAGTCGACCGTAACCGCAAGCTGGTCGGTAGAAACCCTTCAGCCTCTCCAGGGCATACAGGTGTATGCGGAGCGAGATGTGCAGAACATGCGCCAAAGAATACGAGAGCTGGAGGACGAAATGCATGAAATGGCCGATGCAGTCCGTTCATTGCAGGCCGACTCGATTAAACCGCGCCCCAGACGTAATCTGGACTGCCAGGTCACATTTACCTGCCACTACGACTCAGAGATTCCGGGATCACACCGGCTTCTCCGAGATCCCTCCCCAGGAGAAGGGACGTCACCCCACCGGAAGCCCTCCAAAGAAGTGGTGGCGAAGAGAATCAAGAGAATTACGGGAGATCCGTATGAGTTCGACAAAGACGTCGAAGCAGATCATCTGGCGCCGTTCCCTATTTATCCTCAGGGCTCTCCACAACCCGAGATGTAGGAAAAATAGTCCGCGGATCGAAATTGAGGTTTATGGGCAGTAAGGCACAGAGTGTGAACGCGTTTCTGTCACGGTTAGAAGACCTGCGCGTGGGTACAGGACTAACCGACGACGAGGTGCTTTGTTCCGTATCGGAGATCCTCGAAGATAATGCGAGGACTTGGTACGATAACAATAAGCACCAGTGATTGAGTTACGCTGACTTCGTCGTCGATGCCCGAGAATGGTTTGGCACCAGTACGCAACAGCAGCAAAGGCTGTTGCAGGAAGCGTAGAACCAAATCCAGGGCGAAGACGAATTAGTCAGAGACTACGCGTCCAACCTCGTAGCTCTTGTCAATAGATTAGAACCACCAATGCTCTTGGAAAGGTTATTGGACCTGCTACACGCAAACCTTCTTCCGAACATCTAGATTCAGCTGCATCGTAGCGAGTTGACGTCAATACGCTAATTTAATAGGAGGGTGACCGAAGTACAAAATACTTTATCTTACGGTCGGCATCCATGCGTATTCATGGAGCCAAACTCGATGATCTTTCCTCAGTACGTATACCAGCCGAGCAAAAGAACGGCTAGTAATAAATATCAAATCGCTGCAGTAGACTGCGAAGGGAAGGCGCGTGCAAAGAAGGAGGAAGATCCACAGCGTGGACAGGGTGTGGAGAACCCTGCCTGGAGGCCCAACGAGCAGGCAACGTATTGACTGCGCAAACCTCTACTTCTGATAAGAAGATGGAGGTAGGACTGGAGGACATAGAGAAGATCCTGAGAAGGAGGAATTCGCCTCCTTCCCGGTCTCCTGGCGAGTGGCGAGAAGGACAGTAGCGGAAGATCGACTTCACGAAGCCTCTTCAGTGTTCCGCTTGTGATAAGCTGGGTTTCTACCGTAAGTTCTGCCCAGATTGCAACAAGGGAAACGGCTAGGAGAGCGAAGAGAAGAGATCATCTTCGCACCTCCAGTGAGTACGATCTCTCGCCGCGACGGAGTAAGACCAGATCCTGAGAAGATACGACTGTTACTGGAGTTACAACACCACGGACAGTCTAACAGGTAAAGCGATTCATGGGAATGACGTCGTGGTATAGATGTCTAATACCCGACTTCGCCATGATCCCTGAACCTATAAACCACCTCACGAAGAAGAATGTACGTTTCTCTTGGGAGGAGGAGTAAGAGCAAGCTTTCACGAGGTTGCAGGAGGTGATGAATTCCGCCCCAATACTGCAACCACCCGATCCTTGCCGTCAGTTTGTATAACAAGCTGTCGCCAGTGATAGTGGGATCGGAGCAGTTCTCACACAGGATGTCAACGAAGAGGAGGAATACGCCAGCCAATCACTCAACAGCGCTGAGAGAAATTATATAGTTTCCGAGAGAGAGTGCTTGGCAGTGGTATGGGTCATTGGAAAGTTCCGGCCGTACATTGAAGGGCATCACTTCAAGGTCATCACTGATCATAGTTGCCTGAAATAGCTCCACAGTATGAGGAATCCCAAGGGAAGACTAGCGCGTTGGGTGCTAGCATTGCAAGGCAATGTCTTCGATATTGAATACCCGACATGGAAGGTAGTTGGGGGGAGGCTATATCACTATCAGCCTGATGAAGACGGTGATGGATCCATCGACAATGAGGAAGCGTGAAAGCTTGCGGTGCGTAGAGAGAAAAGGCACCAAGTGCTCCAGGAGGTCCATGATGCTTCGATGGCAAGGCACTAAGAAGGAGAGCATACGTTCTCCAGAGCAAGGCGCTTGTACTACTGGCCTAAGATGTATGATCACGTCAGGGAATACGTAAAGAGTTGCCCGGTATGTTAGCAATGCACGGTTGAACAAAGGGCACCTTGCGGGCTGATGGGTCGTAGACAAGTGTAAAGACCCTGGTAGGTAGTAGCTGGTGATATGACTGGCCCACTCTCCAAAAGCTCTCGAGGTTTTGAGGATGTCCTAGTCTTTGTAGACCTTTATACTCGCTGGGTGGAGTATGTTGCGATACGTAAAGCCAATGGAAAGACGATCGCAAAGGAATTACACGAGCGGATTGTCACCAGGTGTGGCGCGCCAGAGGTATTCTTGTCGGATAACGAAACCGAATTCAAGAATCAAAAAGTCGATTCATACCTCCAGATAAACGGCATTCAGCGCGCCTTAACTCCCGTGTACCATCCTCAAGTGGATCCCACAGAGCGAGTAAACAGGACGCTCAAAACCATGATCACATCTTACGTGAGCTGTGATCATAAGAGCTGGGACGAACACCTGTCAGAGTTCAACTTCGAATTGAACTTGACAACTCATAGCGCCACCGGGTATAGTCCTGCGATGCTCATCTTTGAGCGTCAGCCGGTACCTCCTTTGACGAACAGAAGATCGCAGGATCACGAGGCCCTTGAGTTTTCGGAGGGTGAAGCTGTAGTGTATTCAGCTGAACATATGGAGAAGCTCCCTAATTTATAGGAGCGAG